TTGTTTTACAGCATGAAATGTCTGAATGAGTGCTCATCCAAGACTGGTGATTCCATACTTTTTGCCAGGGGTTGTAGCAATACTTTGAGAGCATTGATCTCAGTTTCTAGAAAGAAACGTTTCAAAAGCAGTTCAAGGAACTGGCCAGAACTTTTGGACAGACAAACAAAGTTATCCAATGAGCTTTTTGTTTTTTTATTTTTAGTGTGTGTAAAGAATCAATTTTGCATGTACTTGGACAATGACAGTACTTTGAAAGAAAACATAAGTACGTTAATGCCATTACTAAAAGCTAAATCTGCAGCAAACTGATCTTATATTGGTGTCACACTTCATTCATGTCTCTGGGGATTATGTTGGATATACAGTAAATGCATCGCTGATAATCGCAAAGGTTAGTAACTACAGTACAGCCACCCAAAAAATTTGAGTATTTAGGACTCCTTCTGAAAAGTCTTGTATGTTCATATTTCAATAGTTCAAGCAGCAAAATGTACCTTAATATGCAATATGCATACACTAGAAACCACTTCAGCACTTGGTGCCAATTAGCACCAAGAAAAATGAATGATGCTCCTGAATTAGCAGCTTTGCAAACATCAGCCAATAGCGTGTCAGGTAGCGTTGCGCCTACGTATTCTAGCTTCCTGAGCTGCATTTTCTCTCGACTGTTTCAGATATGCTCCACAAGAAAAAAGAAAAGAACGCAAATAGATAAATTTTCTGCAAATCTTCCCTAAAATTTCTGTAAATTTTGATCATTTCCACAAACTCCGAACCACCAATAGGCGGGTTTCCTCCGTATCCCCCCGCAGCAGGATGCTACCACCTCCATGTTTGACAGTAGATGTACATCGTCTCATTGTTGTCAACTGGCAAGTTTTTTTCTCAGTTGACAAAGCCTTAATCTTCATCTTGTCAAAGTGGCCACCTTAAGCTTGAATTTGAAGTTGAGGTTAAAGTGGTGAGTTAATGCAGGTTTGGCACCCATCAGTCGACGGTGATGTTGCTCGTCTTTGGAAAATGACCCAGACAGTGGAGTCCTGCCTGGACGAACATCCTAACCAATTTCCTTTCACCTGACAGTGCAGGTCTTCTCTGAGATCTTTGGATATATGCATCCAGAAGACTTTCCCAACTTCTTTCTGGCAGTTTCTGTGTGAGATTTTCATTTCAGACATTTGTGAAGACTGTCTCTGAGCAGTTGTTTAGCCTTGGAGGGCGACTCAAAGTGTTCTTATTGGTTACCTTAAATGTTCCTGCGTAGAATAATTTCACTATGTGTCCGTCAACCTTTCTCTTTTCCCTCTCGTCATTTCTCCCTCTGCTCTGACCTCACAGGTGTAAAAAGACTCAGATGGCGCTGTACGCTGACGTCCACTCACCCACGCTGTACGAGTCCAGCGAGTCCCAAGAGGGCTGCGTCAACAGCACCTGCTCCGACGTCAACTCCACCGCATCTGCACAACTCCAGGAAACAAACGCGTCACGTCCGCACCTGCTGTCCTCCACCGCTGCCACGGACACGGTCCCTGCATCCTCTCCCATTCCCTCCGTCACCGCAGCGACTGAAGCTACGAACTCCACAGACGCCGAGGCGTCAGGATCGACTGTGCGGAGAGATGGCCTGGGGAACGTTGTACCCTCCACGCTGGTCGCTGTGGTTGGGCAGCACAACGCCGTTACAGGTACTTCAACCTGATGGTGCCTGGCGCAGTCGGTTTAGTTTTACACTCCGTTACTGAAACTGAAATCCCCCCTGATGTTTGTATCCCATCCACAGAGGAGGACAGGTCTTGTGTTCTGTACAAAGAACTTGATGAGTGTAAGAACAAGATCCTACCGCAGCAGAGGAAATATGGTCTCCACAACACGGAGACAGGAACGATTTATCACTGCAACTGCACCGCCAGGTAAGTCCAGCCATGTTTTCACATTAACGTCTGTGTCCAGGGCCGGCCCAAACCTTTTAACAGATTTTCATTTAGGTCCCCCCCCCACACCAGATGCAATTGGTGTTATTTCTAATTAACTTGCATCACATCAGTGCCATTATGGTTATTGAGTTTAACTTTACAGGAGTAGCAAACTAAAAAAAAAAAGTATTTGGATTTTGAAATGCAGAGTGGTGTTTAAGTGTCATATTTTGAAACTACTTGAAAGTAACGTCAGCAGGAAAACACACAGTTTACTGTAAACAAACTCAGTGTTTAAGTTTAACATCTTAAGTTTAACATCTTATATTTCCCCAACAGAGGCAGCAGGTCAGGTGTGTGTAATCCGTCACAGTGACCAATGGGCTTAAGATTTTTTTTTTTTTTTGTCAGCGTTTAAAACAACAAAAAACAGTCAAAGATGAAAAATATTTGGTCAACGTGACTCCTGATTCAGACTGGTGGGGAGTCCAGGTTTTTAGTTACTTGGTTAATCGGTCCGTTCATTGGCCAGTAAGCTACGTTTCGGTTCCACCTTCTAACACATATTTAGTCTGCTCTTAAATGGGAGAAACTGTTTTTATGGCTTATTTTCATTTTATGTTCGATGATGTCTTCGTCTGTTTGCAGTTGTTGACACACAAAATCCCCATTAAAGTATAATAAAGTTTGTGGCTGTAATGCGACAGAAACTGAAAAAGTTTTAGGGGTAAAAATACTTCAGCACATCAGTGTGGTCTCAGTATGTATTAATAATAAAGTACCAACTCGTACATCATCTCTAAAATATTGAACCTTAATTTTTGCAAAGCAACATCAGACCTAGTGGTAACAGAACACTCCCCTTTCTGTGTGCATCTGTGTGTGTGCGTGTGTGTGTGGCTGCTTAAACAAATCAGACGTGGGGAGACATTTCATAACACAGACCTAGGCCAGGGCCAGTGTAAACATTCACCAGCTTATGTAAGACGGCAGCTCTCTGCTCTCTGACAGGCCTTCAGGTCTCTGAACGTTACCGTAGAGCCGCAGTATCACACAGGTTATCAGTCTGTCAGCTTGTTTTAACAGACTTTTGAGCTTTTTTTTTTTGTTTTGTTTT